ACTGGGAATTGTTCCTGATTCACAGGCAAAGCAAACTGAGATTTTTCCTTCCTTCTTACTTGTTCCTGACTCACAGACAAGGCAGAAATGAGATTTTTTTTTTTTTCCTTCCCCCTTCACTGGGAATTGTTCTTGACTCGCACACAAGGCAGAAATGAGATTTTTTTTTCCTTCCCCCTTCCCTGGGAATTGTTCAGGGAGCTGAGCTTTGCACAGGTGACAGGCAAAGCAGAACTGGGATTTTCTTTAGTTCTTACTGCGAGTAGTTCTTGATTCACAAAGAAAGCAGAAGTGAGATTTTCCTTCCTGGGAATTGTTCCTGATTCACAGGCAAAGCAAACTGAGATTTTTCCTTCCCTCTTACTGGGAATTCTTCTTGACTCACACACAAAGCAGAAATGAGATTTTTTTTCCTTCCCCTTTGCTGGGAATTGTTCTTGACTCACAAAGCAGAATTGAGATTTTCCTTCCTTCTTACTGGGAATTGTTCCTGATTCACAGGCAAAGCAAACTGAGCTTTTCCTTCCTCCTTCCTGGGAATTGTTCTTGACTCACACACAAAGCAGAGCTGAGATTTTTCCTTCCCCTTTACTGGGAATTGTTCAGGGAGCTGAGCTTTGCTCAGGTGCTGCCTGAGGTGGATGGAGCCACTGCAGAACGTGTGATGAGCTCCTTTCTGCACAGGAAGGAGCCTTTTCTTGGCTCTTCTGGCACATTACAATTCCACAGTGTCCAGAAAAGCAGGAGGCACCCCATGGGAAGGGCACTGTGTGGATTTTTGTGAGGCTAACTCAGGTTTTTTTAAGGCTCACCTGAGCACATCCTGCTCAGCTTTGGAGAGCACTCAGTGCCTTTTGCTGGCTTCTGAAGAGCTCTGCTGCCTTCCTCCACTTCCTGTTGCTGTGGGCAGGAGCTGCACCTGTGTTTTTGTGCTGCTGATAGCAGCTCCAGATTGTTTGCTCTCAAAATGAAGGGTAACCCTCCAGTCTCCATCTGCTTATTCAGGACCTGATCACTTGATGGAGAGCACTAAGTGATGAACACACAGGCTGCTGAATTGCTGATGGCTTCCAGGCCAAATGAACTTTATTGTGCAGTTGATGAAGCTTATGGAGCAGAGATCATTTTTCTTCTTTTTAAATTGTGACTCCTCTGACGGGGAAACTCACCTCAACTTTTTAGCTTGCTTCTACAATTCTTGGGACCTTGTTGGGTACATGGAAGTCCTGAAGGGAAGGGGAAGAGAACAAGCTTCAAGTATCTGAAGGGGCCTACAAGGAAACCAGAGAGGGGACTCTTCATCAGGAACTTAAAGAGGAGAAATTTAAGTCAAATATTTGGAAGAAATTCTTGCCTGTGGGCATACTGAGCACTGACATGGGCTGCCCCTGGGAGAGTCCAATGCCAGGTTGGACAGAGCAGCCTGAGATAGTGGAAGGTGTCCCTGCCTCCATGGATGACCTTTAGGGTCCCTTCCACCCAAACAAGTGTGAGATTCTCTGAGCTGCAAACAGAGCAGCGTCAGCACCACAAAAGGATGTGGGTTACTTCTTGAGAGCGATGGCACGTTTGCAGAACACCTGGCAATTTGCATCTTACTGGTGGTTTTTTATTTCCCTCATACAAGAAGGTGAGAGTCTTTGAGGTTTACTGACAGCCCATTTATTTTTATTTTTTTTGGCTGTGTTTCAGACTGAACCCTAAAAACGTGCACCAGCGGCCCACGGTGGCGCTGCTCTGTGGTCCCCACGTGAAGGGGGCCCAGGGCATCAGCTGTGGCCGCCACCTCTCCAACCACGATGTCCACGTCATCCTCTTCCTCCCCAACTTCGTCAAGATGCTGGAGTCCATCACCAACGAGCTGAACCTGTTCAGCAAGACACAGGGTCAGCAGGTGTCCAGTGTCAAAGGTGAGCAGGGCCGGCTTTGTGTGTGTGGGGCAGCAGGGCCGGCTGTGTGTGTGTGTGGGGCAGCAGGGCCGGCTGTGTGTGTGTGTGGGGCAGCAGGGCTGGCTTCTCCTGGCAGCAGGGCTGGCTCTGTGTGTGGGGCAGCAGGGCTGGCTTCTCCTGGCAGCAGGGCTGGCTCCTGCCCGCTGCCCTGGCACCATCTAGTGGCACTGGCAGGCCCGGGTGGCTGCCCAGAGGCTGCAGGGACAGCAGGCACTCGGAGCCTGGACAGAGGAGCAGTTGTGCTGCCACAGATGTTTCCTGGGGAGCAGGGAGATGGGAAGAGCTGCCGTATGGAGCTGCTCTGGTGGGATAAGGAGCTGCCTTGTTCAGCGTGGTGGAGCTGGGGGGGAATGAGGGTCCAGCTGCTGCTGCAAAGCAGGAACCAGCTGTGCTGAGCCACTGGCAGCAGCTGTCAGGATTCCCATCTCAGAATAAACAGCTCCTTGGGGAATGCTGGCACTACAGCAGTTGTTTCCCAAGCTCTGCTTCATTGGAACTTCTGGGGAGAAACAAAGCTGGGAGTTAGGGCTGTGCTGTGCTGACAGAAAACACTGGAAAAGGTTGGAACAGGTTTTCCAGGAAATATCCAAGGATGGGGCTTGGAGCAGCCTGGGATAGTGGCAGATTTCCCTGCCCATAGCAGGGGGTGGGATGAGATGAACTTTAATGTCCCTTCCAACCCAAACCATTCCATGATTTTGCATTGAGGAGTCTGTGATCCATCAGGGAGTGCAGCAGGTGAGAGTGACAGAGCTCGGTGGGGCAGGCAGCAGTGCAGCACAGTTGACAAGCTGAGCAGTGCTCAGAGTCCTGCTCTCTAGTTGTATTCCCACAGGTGTGTTCCAAAAAGCAGCAGTGGAATAGAAAATGGTATTTTCTGATGGACACTGCTCCCCTGGGCTGCCTGGACTGCTGAGGGTTTTAGCTGTGAGGCTGGGCACGTCCCCAGAGTGCTGCAGAGCTGTCCAGGATGGGTGTGTGTGGGAGAAGGATGGCAGTAACAGCAGCCAAGGCCAGGGTGGAAGCCAAACCCCAAACCTGCTGATGGTGCAGCCGTGTCTGTGTTTCTTTCAGACCTCCCAGACACCCCGGTTGACTTAGTGATCAACTGCCTGGATTGTCACGAAAATGCCTTTCTGAGAGACCAGCCTTGGTACAAAGCAGTGGTGGACTGGGCCAACCAGAACCGGGCCCCTGTGCTGAGCATAGACCCCCCCATGAGCGAGATGGAGCTGGGCATCGATGCCAAGTGGTCGCTGGCCCTGGGGCTGCCGCTGCCGCTGGGCGAGCGTGCTGGGCGTGTCTACCTCTGTGACATTGGCATTCCCCAGAAGGTCTTTCAGGAGGTGGGCATCAACTACCACTCACCCTTTGGCTGCAAATTCGTCATCCCCCTGCACTCTACTTAGAGCCCTCCTAAGAGGAGGGAGGAGCTCTGTGGAAAAAAAAAANACTTCGTCAAGATGCTGGAGTCCATCACCAACGAGCTGAACCTGTTCAGCAAGACACAGGGTCAGCAGGTGTCCAGTGTCAAAGGTGAGCAGGGCCGGCTTTGTGTGTGTGGGGCAGCAGGGCCGGCTGTGTGTGTGTGTGGGGCAGCAGGGCCGGCTGTGTGTGTGTGTGGGGCAGCAGGGCTGGCTTCTCCTGGCAGCAGGGCTGGCTCTGTGTGTGGGGCAGCAGGGCTGGCTTCTCCTGGCAGCAGGGCTGGCTCCTGCCCGCTGCCCTGGCACCATCTAGTGGCACTGGCAGGCCCGGGTGGCTGCCCAGAGGCTGCAGGGACAGCAGGCACTCGGAGCCTGGACAGAGGAGCAGTTGTGCTGCCACAGATGTTTCCTGGGGAGCAGGGAGATGGGAAGAGCTGCCGTATGGAGCTGCTCTGGTGGGATAAGGAGCTGCCTTGTTCAGCGTGGTGGAGCTGGGGGGGAAGGAGGGTCCAGCTGCTGCTGCAAAGCAGGAACCAGCTGTGCTGAGCCACTGGCAGCAGCTGTCAGGATTCCCATCTCAGAATAAACAGCTCCTTGGGGAATGCTGGCACTACAGCAGTTGTTTCCCAAGCTCTGCTTCATTGGAACTTCTGGGGAGAAACAAAGCTGGGAGTTAGGGCTGTGCTGTGCTGACAGAAAACACTGGAAAAGGTTGGAACAGGTTTTCCAGGAAATATCCAAGGATGGGGCTTGGAGCAGCCTGGGATAGTGGCAGATTTCCCTGCCCATAGCAGGGGGTGGGATGAGATGAACTTTAATGTCCCTTCCAACCCAAACCATTCCATGATTTTGCATTGAGGAGTCTGTGATCCATCAGGGAGTGCAGCAGGTGAGAGTGACAGAGCTCGGTGGGGCAGGCAGCAGTGCAGCACAGTTGACAAGCTGAGCAGTGCTCAGAGTCCTGCTCTCTAGTTGTATTCCCACAGGTGTGTTCCAAAAAGCAGCAGTGGAATAGAAAATGGTATTTTCTGATGGACACTGCTCCCCTGGGCTGCCTGGACTGCTGAGGGTTTTAGCTGTGAGGCTGGGCACGTCCCCAGAGTGCTGCAGAGCTGTCCAGGATGGGTGTGTGTGGGAGAAGGATGGCAGTAACAGCAGCCAAGGCCAGGGTGGAAGCCAAACCCCAAACCTGCTGATGGTGCAGCCATGTCTGTGTTTCTTTCAGACCTCCCAGACACCCCGGTTGACTTAGTGATCAACTGCCTGGATTGTCACGAAAATGCCTTTCTGAGAGACCAGCCTTGGTACAAAGCAGTGGTGGACTGGGCCAACCAGAACCGGGCCCCTGTGCTGAGCATAGACCCCCCCATGAGCGAGATGGAGCTGGGCATCGATGCCAAGTGGTCGCTGGCCCTGGGGCTGCCGCTGCCGCTGGGCGAGCGTGCTGGGCGTGTCTACCTCTGTGACATTGGCATTCCCCAGAAGGTCTTTCAGGAGGTGGGCATCAACTACCACTCACCCTTTGGCTGCAAATTCGTCATCCCCCTGCACTCTACTTAGAGCCCTCCTAAGAGGAGGGAGGAGCTCTGTGGAAAAAAAAAACCAAGCTGGATGCTGAGTCTGGTGACGCCTTAAAAAAAAAAAAAAAAAAAAAAGAGGAAAAAAAAAAAAAGGATGTGAAGTTCTGGAGGGTTTTTGCTTTCCCCAAAGGAACGTTGTGTATTTAAAAAGAAAAAAATGGAGTAAAATGAAATGGAAAAAAACCCCTAAAACAAACAAAACAAAAGAAAAAAAGAAGAAGGAGGAGGAAGCGAATTGTTCCTGTTTCGTTCTCTCGTGCCATGGGGTGAAGGAGTGTGCAGGACCGTGGTGTCTGTCCCCTGCTGCTGCCCAGCCCTGGCTGGCACGTGGTACAAATAAGGGTAGTTTGGAGCCTTGAGATGTGGTTCTGGTCCTTGTGCTTGGATATTCCCAGCAAGGACATCCTGGTGGGAACAGCACCCCGTGATTGTGTAGAAATCCCTTGTGTCGAGGGGAAATCTCGTTTTGTTCCCGTGTTGTTTTTGACTGCCCCATCCCTGGTTTGTGTTCTGGAAGGCAGCTGCAGCTCCCTGTCCTTCCCAGCCCCTCACGGGGAGGGTTCCCTGTTTGGAAAGCTTGTGGCAGGAGCCAGAGGCTCACCTTGGGAACGCTGATGTCCTTCCTCAGCTAGGCCTTACTGCTTCTGTGCTGTTGTCTTCTCTTTGTTCTCTCTGTGGGGTGGAGGCTTGGTGTGGAAAAGAACTTTTCCAGGATCCTCGTGGGGTTTGGGATTGGTTTCTTTTGTTCTTTCTCCATGCTGGCCCAGCGATGGGGGAGTGGAGCAGGGCAGGGTTGCTCTGGGGTTGTTGGGTGCCTGTTTGGGGTAAGCTCCCCTGTCCTTCCAGCATCCCTGCTGCATTTGGTGCGGTTTGGGAAGTAACTCACGGATCTGTTCATTCCCTTTGGGATCAAACAAAGCCAGTGTGTGGGGTGGGCCGGTGGCTTGGCCCCAGGAGGGGCTTGGCTCCTGTTTGCTGGCAGGAGAGGGCGTGGTGGGACTGCTGTGCTCCTGGAGGGCTGTGCCAGAGATCCTGGGTGGGATTTCCATCAGAAATCTGCTCTGGTGAGTTGGACTGCTGTCCCATGCCCGGCCAGAAGCGTCGGATTATCCTCTCCTGTGTTCCTTTTGTTGGCCTGGGTGCAGGGATGAGCTGAGGAGCCACCAGCTCGGTTTGGCAATCATCTTGGGCACCAGCGTGCTGTCCCCTGCGTGCCCCTGGAGAACTGCAGCTGCAGGAGGAGCTGCCAGGCCGAGCTGTTCCTGGGGAGGAGCTGCTGGGAGCTCTGCTGCTCCTCTCACATTTCAGCCGTGGCCAGGGCTCCTGCACCTCACAGCCCTGCTCCAGGGGAGCCACATCCCTGGGAAGGCCGAAGCACAGGGACCAGTCCAGTGTGGGTCCAGCCCACACTTTAGCCACTTTGGGTCCAGCCCAGCTTTAGTCAGGCACTCACCTTTCCTTTCCTCTGCTAGAACAAAGGCCAGGGCTGCCAGAGGAGCAGGGAAGAGCCTTCCCTGCTCAGAAAGAAGCAATGGCAGGGTCCAGCCTGGCAGTGTGGAGGGCCCAGCAGGCTGCTGAGCAGCGGGCTCACCCCGAGGCCTGTCCCCCCCTGCACGTTGCCATATCTACCTCAGCAGGACCAGGGGCTGTGCCCAGGCTGGCTGCAGCCCTGGTTCCCCTCAGCACTGCTGGCCTGGGGGCTCTGCCCTGGGTCCTGGTGTCCCAGTGTGCCCCACGGTTCTGCCCCAGGCTCTGGTTCTGACTGGGACAGCACAGCAGTGTGGTGGTTATTCACAACACAAACATAAGGTTTCCCTCTGCATTTTTTTTTTTTTTTGTTCTTTTGGCTGTTTCCTCAGATCTTTACCCAGGTTAAAAAGGTTGTTGCTGTAGTCAGTGTTAGCTTTAGTCGCCTTATTTTTACTCTCTTTGCTCAAGACACTCAGTAGGAGACTTGCTGTTTCAATTTCTGCTTTCTGCAGGTTTTTCCTGCCCTTTCTGGGTTTGGCTGTTGAGCCGTAGCTTGTACACACGGAGCAGGGCAGGGTTGCAGCTGCCCTGCCTGGAAGGCACTGGAGCAGGGGATGGTGTTTGTGCAGGGATGGAGTTCTGGGAAGCACCGAGGCCCTGCTGGTTGCCAGCCTTGAACTAAAAAAATTAAAGTGAACAGTGTTGCACAGCAGGAGGGTTCAGCCCCTGGTGTAGGGAATGGGATTCCCCATCCCAAATCCGTGCAGGGTTCAGGCAGCGTGGGGCTGTGCTCACTGCCTGCTAGATTTGGGTATTTGGCTGTACTCCCCCTCACAGGCAGATGTTTCTTGGCTTCACACACCTGGAACGTGAGGTGCCAGCTCTTGTGGGGCACTCAGAGACCCAGAGCGGGGTCTGGCTGTGCTCGTGGCCGTCCCCACGGTGGCAGAGTTCATCCTGTAGCTGTGTTTGGGATAGTTCCCACCCCACCTGCCCCAGCAGCACAGGAACTGCCCTGGCTGCTGCTCTGCTGCCAGGTGACCATCACTGCACTGTGCCACTGCTTGGTGTCCCCATGTGTGACCTGATGTTTGTAACCACCAATTCCTGCCACTGCGGGGGACCATGCCCTGAAATAAAGTGCAACTCTTCATGTGTGCTATTGTGTGCAGCTGTTTATTTGTCTGCTCTCCTTCCAGAACCTTCCTCTTCCCTCTCGCTGATTCCAGGTGCTTTTTCACCGTGTCCCTCTTCCTTTGCACAACCCCAAACCCGCCTACAAGGGAAGTATCAAACAATAAGAAACACTTTATTTTAACTTTACAACATATAAATAGACAAATCTGTGCTTTCCAACGGAGCTTTCCTTCCATCTCCCCTCCCCAGAGTCCTTGTGGCAGCGCCCTCCAGCCCCTGTGGACTCGGGGAGGAGTGGGGCTGAGCTGCAGAGGCCAGAGGATCCATCCCGAGGGCTCCATCCCGAGGGATCCCTCTGTCATCTGCTCAGGTCCCGGCTGGCGCCACGCCCGCACAGCATCCGCTCCTCTGCCGAGAGCCCGGCAAAGAAAGGGTGCAGGAGAGCCTCGGAGAACGTGATCCGCTGGGAGGGGTCGAATTCCAGCATCCTCCTCATCAGGTCAAAGAGCTGCGCGTGCTCCAGCGAGTCGTGCAGCATGTATGTCTGAAAGGGACAGGGGACACTCAGCCAGGGGACACGGACACAGCCCGACGGGCTGGGCCAGCCAGGGCGGCCTTTATCCCAAATACAGCATCCCAGAGAGCTGCTTCCCATCCCAAATACAGCATCCCCCAGGGCTGCTTCCCATCCCAAATACAGCATCCCAGAGAGCTGCTTCCCATCCCAAATACAGCATCCCCCGGGGCTGCTTCCCATCCCAAATACAGCATCCCAGAGAGCTGCTTCCCATCCCAAATACAGCATCCTCCAGAGCTGCTTCCCATCCC